GAATGTCCGGATAATCGAATGTCCGGATAATCGAATGTCCGGATAATCGAATGTCCGGATAATCGAATGTCCGGATAATCGAATGTCCGGATAATCGAATGTCCGGATAATCGAACGTCCGGATAATCGAACGTCCGGATAATCGAACGTCCGGATAATGGAATGTCCGGATAATCGAATGTCCGGATAATCGAACGTCCGGATAATCGAATGTCCGGATAATCGAACGTCCGGATAATCGAATGTCCGGATAATCGAATGTCCGGATAATCGAACGTCCGGATAATCGAACGTCCGGATAATCGAACGTCCGGATAATCGAACGTCCGGATAATCGAATGTCCGGATAATCGAATGTCCGGATAATCGAATGTCCGGATAATCGAATGTCCGGATAATCGAATGTCCGGGTAATCGAAAGTCCGGATAATCGAATGTCCGGATAATCGAATGTCCGGATAATCGAATGTCCGGATAATCGAATGTCCGGATAATCGAATGTCCGGATAAACGAATGTCCGGATAATCGAATGTCCGGATAACGAATGTCCGGATAACGAATGTCCGGATAATCGAATGTCCGGATAATCGAATGTCCGGATAATCGAATGTCCGGATAATCGAATGTCCGGATAATCGAATGTCCGGATAATCGAACGTCCGGATAATCGAACGTCCGGATAATCGAACGTCCGGATAATCGAATGTCCGGATAATCGAATGTCCGGATAATCGAATGTCCGGATAATCGAATGTCCGGATAATCGAATGTCCGGATAAACGAATGTCCGGATAATCGAATGTCCGGATAATCGAATGTCCGGATAATCGAATGTCCGGATAATCGAATGTCCGGATAATCGAATGTCCGGATAATTGAATGTCCGGATAATCGAATGTCCGGATAATCGAATGTCCGGATAATCGAATGTCCGGATAATCGAATGTCCGGATAATCGAATGTCCGGATAATCGAACGTCCGGATAATCGAACGTCCGGATAATCGAACGTCCGGATAATCGAATGTCCGGATAATGGAATGTCCGGATAATCGAATGTCCGGATAATCGAATGTCCGGATAATCGAACGTCCGGATAATCGAACGTCCGGATAATCGAATGTCCGGATAATCGAATGTCCGGATAATCGAATGTCCGGATAATCGAACGTCCGGATAATCGAACGTCCGGATAATCGAATGTCCGGATAATCGAATGTCCGGATAATCGAATGTCCGGATAATTGAATGTCCGGATAATCGAATGTCCGGATGATCGAATGTCCGGATGATCGAATGTCCGGATAATCGAATGTCCGGATAATCGAATGTCCGGATAATCGAATGTCCGGATAATCGAATGTCCGGATAATCGAATGTCCGGATAATCGAACGTCCGGATAATCGAACATCCGGATAATCGAACGTCCGGATAATCGAAGGTCCGGATAATGGAATGTCCGGATAATCGAATGTCCGGATAATCGAACGTCCGGATAATCGAACGTCCGGATAATCGAATGTCCGGATAATCGAATGTCCGGATAATCGAATGTCCGGATAATCGAATGTCCGGATAATCGAATGGCCGGATAATCGAACGTCCGGATAATCGAACGTCCGGATAATCGAATGTCCGGATAAACGAATGTCCGGATAATCGAATGTCCGGATAACCGAATGTCCGGATAATTGAATGTCCGGATAATCGAACGTCCGGATAATCAAATGTCCGGATAATCGAATGTCCGGATAATCGAACGTCCGGATAAACAAATGTCCGGATAATCGAATGTCCGGATAATCGAACGTCCGGATAATCGAACGTCCGGATAATCGAACGTCCGGATAATCGAATGTCCGGATAATCGAATGTCCGGATAATCGAATGTCCGGATAATCGAATGTCCGGATAATCGAATGTCCGGGTAATCGAAAGTCCGGATAATCGAATGTCCGGATAATCGAATGTCCGGATAATCGAATGTCCGGATAATCGAATGTCCGGATAAACGAATGTCCGGATAATCGAATGTCCGGATAACCGAATGTCCGGATAATCGAATGTCCGGATAATCGAATGTCCGGATAATCGAATGTCCGGATAATCGAATGTCCGGATAATCGAACGTCCGGATAATCGAACGTCCGGATAATCGAACGTCCGGATAATCGAACGTCCGGATAAACGAATGTCCGGATAATCGAATGTCCGGATAATCGAATGTCCGGATAATCGAATGTCCGGATAATCGAATGTCCGGATAATCGAATGTCCGGATAATCGAATGTCCGGATAATCGAATGTCCGGATAATCGAATGTCCGGATAATCGAATGCCCGGATAATCGAATGTCCGGATAATCGAATGTCCGGATAATCGAATGTCCGGATAATCGAATGTCCGGATAATCGAATGTCCGGATATTCGAATGTCCGGATAATCGAATGTCCGGATAAACGAATGTCCGGATAATCGAATGTCCGGATAATCGAATGTCCGGATATTCGGATATTCATATATTTCGACATTCCTATACTCCGATACTCCGATATTCCGATAGAGCTAAATGTACAAAAAATGGCAGTTCTTGAGAGAACTAAGTGCCCGATTTGAATGATTCAAAGAACTTTCTGCTATTCAGATATTCGGATATTCGGGTATTCGGATATTCGGATATTCGGATATTCGGATATTCGGATATTCAGATATTCGGATATTCCGAGATTCGGATATTTCGAGATTCGGATATTCCGAGATTCGAATATTCCGAGATTCGGATATTCCGAGATTCGGATATTCCGAGATTCGGATATTCCGAGATTCGGATATTCGGATATTCGGAGATTCGGATATTCGGCTATTCGGATATTCGGATATTCGGATATTCGGATATTCGGATATTCGGATATTCGGATATCCGGAATATCTGAATATCCGGAATATCTGAATATCCGAATATCTCTAGAAATTGTTCAGAATATACATTACTTAGCAAAACAACGTTTGCCGGGTCAGCTAGTATATATATAAATATATATATATATATATATATATATATATATATAATATGGAATGGAATGAGGTATAACTTAATACTTAAAATGTATAGTATACGAGGTCTGTTCAAAAAGTACCCGGAATTTTCGTTTTTTCAAAAAAATATTTATTTATTCGTCTACATTAATGTGGTCCCCTTCAAAGTAGTCCCCCCCAGATATAATACACTTATGCCAGCGTTTTTTCCAATTTTCGAAGCACCCTTGATATTCACTTTTGATATGTCCTTGAGCACTCTCAGCGATTTTCTTCAATCGAGGAAAACCGCCGTCCTTTCATGGGTCTCTTCAACTTTGGGAATAGGAAAAAGTCACACGGAGCCATATCTGGTGAATTTTTGCACTTTGCAACACTTTATTTCATTTTTTACGCAAAATTTAATACAAATTCTTTGACTTTTCAATTCTTCCATTGTAAAAATCGCCGAGCTCAGAAAAACACGTCGAACCTTAGCGACTACCACAGACAAAGTAAACAGTGAATATAGCTGAAAATTTCATCATACTTTAGGGGCATGTATACCAACACAATAAAAAAAAAATTTTGACAATCAGACACTCCAGACCTGCGAAATTTAAAAATTCCGGGTACTTTTTGAACACACCTCGTATGCTACTCAGTGCTACTATAGTATCTAATGATGTACAAATCACTGTATACATTTGTAACCAGTGTATCCAATTCTCATTCAAACTGAGGCAGCTAGCAGACATCACATAATATATAAATCAGAATATACATTTATATCATAGATAAAAGAAAAGATTGATTTATATATCTCGTTTCCATCCAATCGGCCACTATTGTTTTGAATTCATATTTTAATATTTAAACTCATATTTAAACGTTTTACGTACAGGTCGGTGGCGACATCTAACACAGAACTATATGAACCCGATAGTCACTACGTAGTTCCCAACAAATTGGGAACGATTTTGCATAGAGGCGCTGCATGCAATCGCTTTAGAACCACAGGAATCTTAGTGGATTCCTATTGGATTTGGATATAATTATGGTCCCGGTTTTAAAGAAATATCAATATATACATTTATATATCGCTTTATACTATATATGTCCTTCTCTTATTGAGATTTAGAACTTAAAAGGCACGTATAGGAGTCCATGGATTTTTAAAATTGAAATTAAAATTTACAAATAGATTAAAATTCCAAACGTATCTGTTTGCAATTAATGCAGCCCCAGTAGATTGCACTTACTGTGGAATTGTAAGATGTCTCTTAATCAAATATTATTATATAATTTTAAAAATCAAAAAGTTGCGATTGAAAATGTATGTACAATTTTAATTGCCAGAACATGGCACTCTTATTATATTATTATCATCCATTTAAAACTCAATAATGCACTTGTATTGCATAGAACACCATTAGTTGTATAGAAATTTCTGTTGTAGACAGTTTCAAAAGGTTTACAAAACATTCTATAAATATCATTTACAAGCAATTAAATTGAATTGAGAAAAAAACAATATAAAGACTTTAAATATTCAGACTGTCATCTACTTCTTAAAGATACACAGGCAATTCGCTTTTTACATAATGTAATGAATTACAAATAAAAAATTATATATAATTCTTGAAATTTGGACAAATATTAAGAGTTATATATAATTCTTAATTTTTGTCCAAAATAAATATCATTTTTTAAAAAATATTTTTTTTCTTCATAAGCAAGAATCATAGTATTTCTTAATTATATATGATTTAAATTTATATATTTAAACTATACTGTTTACATTTCTCTTCCTAACAGAGGTCACTACTAATATTATATATAAATATATCCTTTAAAATAAAATGATTAAAAAAACGATGCTTATAAAATAACGTGCGTTACTTCCCACATCATCCAATTCTCTTTCTGGAATTATCAACTTATATATAAATTTGCTATTATCGAAAACAAATAAAGTGAGATATAAAATTTGTAAATAAACATTTTATGTACATAATACAGAAGCACGATATCGAAAAACTATATACACATCTATATTAGTGGTGCATCAAAAAGGAACACATAGTCCATGGAATAAAAGTTGGTAGAAAAAAAGGTACGGATATAAAAATATAAATATAATATATATATATATATATATATATATATATATATATTCTGTTAGTTGCTAAACTTATTTCAAATGTAGATTAATTTGTTAATTATTAACAGAGATTAATGCCGGCGTTAACTGTTTATGATGTGTTTTTTTATGTGCAAGTGCTCTTTAATCTTTTAATATATATTTATTAACTTCCCGTGGGGTAAGTTATTGTAATGGGCCGAAAATCGAAATTTAAAATTTTTACATTTCTCGACGTTTTGAAGGTTTCTGAACATTTTGGCATACCTCAGAAAAAATAGATGTATGTGTGTGTGTATGTATGTATGGATACAAATTTCCAGTCACGTTTTCGGGCGCACGGATTAACCGATTTGAATGGTTTAAAAAACATTCGATTCCTATTAATAGGGAGATGAGCTGATTAGTTTTTGGCAAAGGCAGGTCCAGCAGTTACGGAGATAAAGAGCAAAGAGTGCACAAAATAGAAATCGAGTTTTTGAGAGAACGGAACATCCGATTTGAATGATCTAAAAAACATTCAATTAGTAATGATTGGGAGAAGTGTTTATTAGTTTTTGGCAAAGGCAGGCCCAGCCATTTCGAAGATACGGTGCTAAAGTGTAAAAAATTGCAGTTTTTGAGAGAACTAAGCGTCCGATTTGAATGATTCAAAGAACTTGCTGCTTGTCTTAACAAAATAATTGATTTTGGAAAAAAAATTTTGTTTCAACTTTTTTTTTCAAAAAAAAAAAATGTTTTGTATATCGAAAATAATTCAGATTTTATTTTTAATTCTGACTATAGTTCTAATATACTTTAAACAAATAATTTGAGCTTTGCAATTCAGTTTATATAATTCTTATAAATATTAGACAATGTTACAATATTAATAATAATCTATTTGAAAACATTCAGTATTCCTCGAACATTTCGTTACGGTGTACGGGAAGTGTCAGCAATTTGACTTAAGGCACGATGCCATGCGCCCCACTAGTTTCTCAATATTTTAGTATATCTAATTTTCTTTACTTTATGAAAATCTAATAGTTTTTGCTGGAACTTAATGATAATAGTAAATTGCTGGAACTTAATTAAAAATCTTGGTACGGAATCCAAAAAAATTTACACAAAATGTGTACACACTATTAAAATCTCTGTAAACATTTTTGACCGCAAAATGACATTTTTTAACTTATTTTTATTGAGATTCCATAACCGCTGGACCTGCTTTCCCATAACTTAATCAGCTCTTCATCTTGTCAATACAAGTAAAATGTATTGAATGTAATGAATTATTAAAATCGGACGCTCCATTATCTTAAAAACTAAGTTACCGTTTCTGGCACTTTTTGCCCCGTATATTCCGAACGGCCATCCCCTGCCTTCGCCAAAAACTAATCAGCAAGTCTCCTCATCAATACGAATCGAACGTTTTTTGAATTATTCAAATCGGTCGATCGGTGTTCCCGAAATCGTCGACGAAAATTTGTATCCGCACACACACATACATTCATTTTTTCTAAGGTATGCCTAAATGTTCAGAAACCTCTGAAACGTAAAGATATATAAAAAAAATTCATATTCGATTTTTTTGCGATTACTATAACTTACCTTACGGGAAGTTAATAATGTAAGTGATGGTTTGATTTTTTCCAGAAAAGATGATTAGGTCTTTGTTACTAGTGATGGTATGTTGCTCCATTTGTGTAGCATACAGGGATTGGATAGAAGAACCTGGTCCTAGGGTGAAAGCCACCCAAGGTGAGGTTTGGCCAAAACCTCAGCAACAACGAAGCACAAATGAAGTGATGGTAGTTCGGCCATCGGTCTTTCTTTTCGTGGTAAGAAAAAAATTAGATAATTATAATTGTTACATCTGCATGTTAGGGGGCGCCTAGTAATCACGTGAGGTTTTTAGGGGGAGGGGGGGTCTGACAGAAAATGACGAAATATTACGTGGGAGAGAGAGGGGTATAGTAAGATATCACGTGTATTTATTTTTTACCTGATTTTTTTCAGAAAATTCGAACATTTTCAAAAAAAAAAGATCAAAAATTTTACAGATTTTTCACGTAATTAAATATACATATGATGTTTGGTGGGAGAGGGGGGGTAATTTTGAATATCACCATGTATCACCAAGGGGGAGGGGAGGTCCCAGAATCCTCAAAAACTCGTTCACGTGATTATTGCACGCTCCCTTATTTCTATACCATAACAAATCCTTTATCATATGATTTTGTGTTTCTTTATTTTATAATGTACGATTTTTACATAAATGTTTACATATCCATTCCCAAAATTCCGAGAAACTTGCCTTACAAGTTTTAATATAAAAAAAGAAAAATAAATAACTTGACACACGCAAAGCTCAGACATCTGATTGTTATGCACAAAGGCATATCAACGACCGTTAAATTAAGTTCAACGAATCGGGATTTAAGATCAGCATGAAAAGAATTGTTCAACAGGGAGGGATTTAGAAAGAAACTTGAAAAAATGTTTTTATAATATCGTAGACATCAAACAAAAATCAGCAAACTATAAGAAAAGAATTGACGAATACTCAAACTGCTTGGCACAGAGAGTTTTTTTTAGAAACGCGCCCAACCAGGCTCCAAAGAAAAATACCTAATGATCTCATAGATATCCATTTAAAAAAAAACGCTCATCACTTTATTAACTTCCCGTAGGTTATTGTAAATCGTCCAAAATCAAAATTGAAAATTTTTGCATTTCTCGACGTTCTGAAGGTTTCTAAACATTTTGGCATACCTCAGAAAAAATGGATGTGTGTGTGTGTGTATGTATGTATGGATACAAATTTCCAGTCACGTTTTCGGGCGCACGGATCAACCGATTCGAATGGTTCAACATTCGACTCCTATTGACAGAGAGATGTGTTGATTAGTTTTTGGCAAAGGCAGGTCCAGCAGTTACGGAGATGAAGAGCAAAGAGTGCAGAAAATAGAAATCGAGTTTTTGAGTGGACGATTTGAATAATCTAAAAATATTCAATTAGTGATGATTGGGAGAAGTGGCTATTAGTTTTTGACAAAGGCAGGCCCAGCCATTTCGAAGATACGGAGCTAAATGTGCAAAAAATGGCAGTTTTTGAGAGAACTAAGCGTTCGATTTAAATGATTCAAAGAACTTTCTGCTTGTCTCAACAAAATAATTGATTTTGAAAAAAAAATTTGTTTCAACTTTTATATTTCGGAAATAATTCAGATTTTATTTTTAATTCTGACTATAGTACTAATATACTTTGAACAAATAATTTCAACTTTGCAATTCAGTTTATATAATTCTTATAAATAATAGACAATGTTACAATATTAATAATAATCTATTTGAAAATATTCAGTATTCTTCGAACATTTCGTTATGGTACAAATCAAAATATAATATTTAAATAATTTATTGTTAGAAATACAAATGATTCCATGCATTTATGCAATTATTTGAAAACGCATATTTTATAATTATAAACATAGTTCTAATAAAAGCAACATGACTCTCATAACAATTTGAATGGAACTTGATTTTTCTAGAAATACCCCTTCAAATTCATTTCATATTTGAATTTTGAAACTTTTGAACTATCCCTAACTTTTCATAATTTATGCGATTAATATTAAATACGTTTTGTTTATTGATTATATCCATGTAATAAAATGCTTCTCTATTTCCAAAAATAAGTTTCACATTATAAACATTTTAATGGACATTTTTGGACAGTTTATCTATTTTCTAGAAGTAATCTTCTCTTCAATCTTCTATGATCGATTGAAAATTATTAAAAATTATATGTGTAAATAATTTTTTAGAAATGTGTGCATTAGGTTAAAAGTTCACTGGGATCCCCTCTAAATTGACATTAGGTTAAAGGTTACTACATTGATAAATCTCATCCATTATCAAACAAGATGCATCTTTTAAGTAACATAATATTTGTTCAATACATTGCTATCAATATTGATATTTCCAAGAATACTTTGCAGGAATAAATTTTAAATAAAGAATCATTTCATTCTTAAATGTAAATCATTTAGACAAACACCACTGTTAATGACGTTTAAAATAAGACTTTAATACATGTCAGTATGTTTTGTTGACTCCTTGACCTTAAATATTTATTTATGGATGATATTTTTACTAAGATTTTATTATATGAACATTGACACGGTTATTTATAGAATTAAAAAGCTATTCTCAAAACGAGTTTTAGCTAATATTTAATTAATTTATATGAAAAATAATTTGTATTGAACCTGACTTCAATTTTCATCTGCATGGTTTGAAAAGGAATTCAAATAACTGAATTTTTCCTATTTTTTCATATTGTATGGTATTTTGATTTTGTGCTTTATTGAATCAATGCAACTTTAAACTATAAAATCTGTAATTTAAGATAAATGTAAATCATCAAATCAAGAGCAAGGTTACGAGATACATTATTAGTATCCCACACTAATAATGTCTTCGTAACCTTGCTCTTGAATATGATGATGACTGAGTACTTTATCTATAAGATATACTTTAACTACCCAAAGAAGTATATATTTTTGCCAGAAAATCCGATAAGATCATTTTATGTTTTCTCTACTTTTCAAGTTTTTCTGAATGACACCAAAATTGGAAAAAGTCTGTGGGTATGAAGAATGAATGTATGTTAGCTAAAACTTGACCATTCGTCGACGTTTTCTGAAAAAGGATGTACCGATTTCAAATATTTAATAGCAGAAAAATGCAAAAATTATCGTCCACGTTTGCGCAAAAATACAAACCGATTTTGAAATTTTAAAAATCGTCCTAAAAGATATCAGTTGAGGGATCATGCTTTCTTTATAATAATTGGTCAGGCTGTTTCTTTGCAATTAATTATCGAAAAATTTGTCGCTTTTTATACAACTCTAACGTGAAGCAAAATACCACTTACACCTAGTTTAATAAATATTCTTCATTGCCCTCATCATTCTTTTTTTTATCGCAACTTTATTGTAAAATTGATACTACTAATTATTTCAAGGGCTAGGGTTGATTTTGGATCTATTTTATACCAAAATCAAAAGCATAGGACACAAAAAAAATTTGGTTTATGGTCATCGATAAAGATAAAATATATGATAATATAAGAAGTCCCATTTTCTTTAGAATGAAGGCACAGCATGTAAAGATCTAGATGAGATGTTAGTAAGATACAAAGGCATAATGCTTAGAACTTTACCAATGACTTCGCGCCATTGTAATGGAAACAGAAAATTATGTCCTGGTCGTAGAAGGAGTTCCAGGAGTTACCTGAATTCGTTAAGGATCAACCTGGAAGGTCCATGTGATTTGCCGTTGGATTCCAACATGAATGAAACATGTAAGTAAAATATATTGCACAAGTAATAAATGATGGCACAAAAATTGAAAATTTACTAATGTGAGAGACTCACCAAGCTGTTAAATTATGTTAGTTTGTAGTCAACATACCATTTTTAGATGTCGTCGATTTGCACTTTGAAAAAGTATTTATGAATTTATAATTTTAGATAGTTTGACAATTTTCTCCCGTACAAGGAGAATCAGTTTTGCATTCCCAAACATACTGGGGCATTATAAGAGGATTGGAAACGTTCTCACAATTACTTTATGCTGATCCAGTTGAGCACGTCGTAAATATCCTAAGTTGACTAAATTTCAAATAACTTTCACGATATTTGATTATTTATTGTTGTTTCCTTATAGCTATTGTTAAACAAAACAACAATTTATGACTACCCAAGATTTTCTCATAGAGGAATTTTGCTCGATACATCAAGACATTTCATACCTCTGCAAAAAATCATGCAACTTTTAGATGCAATGTCATATAATAAAATGAATGTTTTTCATTGGCACATTGTTGATGATCAAAGTTTTCCATATGAGAGCTATACTTTTCCTGAATTAAGGTAACTAACAGAGTAGAAGTAAAAATACTCACAAACACTATATGAGAAATTCACATGGTAATACTATTAGTGCAGTAAACGGAGCGTTTTAGGTCTGAATTTTTTTACGGTCCTCCGAATTGAATGAAATTTTGGAATTAGGTTCATCTTACCCTCAAGTTCAAAAGTGAAAACAATTCGGGTTGCGCCATCACCACCCGGGGGGATGACAACCCCTCTCAATTGTGTAATTACATTTTTTCAAAATAACGTCGGAAATCGATAGAAGAACTAATTATAAGAAAAAATGTCTTTTATAGTTTTTCAAAAAAACTAATACTTTTCAAGTTACTGGCCACAAAGATTCATATATTTTGGCGTTTTTTCTTCGTTTTTTTGCAAATATCTCCTAAAATTACATTTTAACGAAAATCATGTAATGAATAAAATAATGTCAGTAAAAATCTTAATAAATCGGTATTACATAAAGTTTTCTAGGAAAAATATTAAGAAAGACTTGAAAGAGCAAAATTGTTTTTGATTTCGTTCAAGATTTAATTGTTGTATTTAAAGCCATCTAGTGTCGAGGTTTTACATTTTATGCATTTCGGTGAAATTGGGTTTTATAGTGCTCAACATAAGCTTAAAAATGAGTGCTGTTACAAAGTTTTTTGCGTGTAAATGAGTAAGCTATCGTGCAAATAAGAAGCATATACGAAGTTTTTTTTCTTTTAATCATATGGTTTAATGAGCGCCATTTCCACCAGAATTAAAGTAATTCACATTCCATCTAGAATTGTCTTCTTCATTATAGACATCTTGATGGATTCTAGCAAATTCACTACTTTAGTACAAACTATGTTCAGAACACTCACGATTTTATAAAACTTTTTTTTCCAATTTTTTAAGAAATCGAAATTATTTTCATTATATCTCAAAAAATAAAAATACGTATAAAAGCATATAGATAAAAATCAAAGGGATCTTTCTAGCTTATTTTTGTTTTTATTATTTTTCTTTCACACAAAAATTGACAAAGTTATGAATGTTTAAAGACTGCGCGGCCGCGCAAATTGGAAAAAAAAGTTTTTATAAAATCGTGAGTTTTCTGAAATAGTTTGTACTAAAGTAGTGAATCTGCTAGAATCCATTAAGATGTTTATAATGAAGTCGAATTCTAGATGGAATGTGAATTACTTTAATTCTGGTGGGAAATGGCGCTCATTAAACTAT